TGAAAGATTGGATAGAGCATTTGTAAATCCAGAATGGAAGCGCCATTTCAACAGGGCAGTGCTTCAAAACCTCTCTATAATGACCTCAGATCATGGTCCTCTCTTGTTAAAGTTTAAAAACAAAGGAAAAAGAACCAGGAAAAGGAAAAAAATTTGAACAGTTTTGGTCCCATTGCAACCAAGCTCATGAGATTATACGATCAATATGGAGCCATGACAGCCTACAAATTCCATCAATTTAAGAGAGATTCTCCTTCAAACTACAAGGCAGTTTGTCCAAATTACATAAATGGAGCATTGATCATTTTGGTAATATAGACCATTATGTTGCCAAACAAATCGAGTTGCTTCAATCAGCTCAACAAAGGTGGGAATCTGATAGCACAAACCAAAATCTACAAAAAAATATATCAGCAACAAAAAGAGATTGTGGAAACCGCTTTGGAACATCAACAAGACTTTTGGCAACAGAGAGCCAAAGTTAACTGGTCTCTACAGGGTGATAGGAATACGAAGTTTTTCCATAAGTGGGAAACAAGGAAAAAAGGCAACAAATGGATCACAGAATTGAAAGATGGGAATGGTGTTTGGATGCAAGATCAGACACAGCTGGTCTCTCTCATACAGAACCACTTTCGAGACATTTATGCCTCTCTTTCTGTAACACACAGTCACTCCTCGCCTTTTTTCACTCTCTTTTAAAAGGAGTTGAGGAATGCGTCTCCATTGAACAAAACGAGGCTTTGAGCCAACCTTTCACAAAGGAGGAGATCTGGCTAGCCATCAAACAGATGGCTCCATGGAAGTCTCCAGGACCTGATGGCATTCCGGTGGGATTTTATCAGAAGTACAAGTCTATAATTGGCTCAGACCTGGAACACTCCATTCTGGAAGCCATGTCTTCTAGCGGTTTCCTTTGGAGTGGAACCAAACCTTTCTGGCCCTAATACAAAAGATCACCAATCCTTCTGTGCCAGGTGATCTTAGGCCTATAAGCCTTTGCAACACCAAATATAAAATCATTACAAAAATGATTACAAACCGGCTTAAGGAAGTGATGAAGGATTTAATTGATTAGCACCAAAATGGTTTTGTTCAAGGAAAAAACATCACTGAGAACATTCTAATTGCACATGAGTTAGTGGAGCATATTCGTAGGAAATCTGGATCAAAGAGCTTGGCGGCTATCAAATTGGATATGAGTAAGGCCTATGATTGGGTATCCTGGCAATTTTTTAGACAAGTGCTTGCTAAAGTTGGTCTGCCTCATAATCTGATTCAACTTATCATGTTCTGTGTCTCCACGGTGTCCTACTCCGTTCAATTCAATGGTGGTAATCAAGGTTTCTTTTCCCCCATCAGAGGCTTAAGACAGGTTTGCCCGCTATCACCATATTTATTCATCATGTGCCAACAAGTGTTATCTTCAGCAATTCGGATGGAAAACAAGAATTTCTCAGGCCTTGGCATTAAAATATGTAGACAGGCTCCAAGGGTAAGTCATTTAATGCACGCAGATGTTAGTTTGTTCTTTGTTGAATGCAATGAGGAGTCCATTTTGGCACTGGCGGGTATCATTGAGGATTATGCAGCTTTTTCGGGACAGAAGATCAACTTCACTAAGTCTTCTATACTCCTGAGCCCAAATACCCCACCTCACTTAAAGACTTTTATTCACTCAACTCTGCATACTCGAGAAGGAAATTTTCAGAGTAGATATTTGGGGATGTCTTTGGACTTTAAGGGGAAGAAGAAGGCTATTTTTCAGCATTTCACCTCTAAACTCTCTAACAAATTTGCGAATTGGAAAACTAAGTTGCTTTCACTTAGTGGCAGAATTACATTAGCTAAAGCATCATTAGCCTCTATGCTGGTTTATCCTATGGGAGTTTTTTAACTTCCAGCAGACACAATTCATAAGGCTGCAGCGATCATTGCTCGGTTCATCTGGAAGGGGGATTTACAGGGAAAAAGATTACATTGGAAGTCATGGAAAAAGATGAGAAAATCACAATTCCATGGTGGACTAGGCTTAAAGTCACTGAAAGAGTTTAATCAAGCTTTACTGGCCAAGCATGCATGAAAAATTTTATCCCGACCTACCTCACTGATCTCTCGATTATATAGAGCAAAATATTATAATAATGGAGTATTCCCATCTACCAGACCACTCCGGCAAGCTACTTGGGGCTACAGGAGTATTTTGTGGGGTGCAACATTACTCCAATCGAATGTCAAGTGGAAAGTGGTTTCAGGGAAAGATATCCATGTGGCGGATAATTGGATTCCAGCACACACAAATCAGATACAACCGACTTCCTTACTTGCCACTCATTCAGATTTGCGAGTCAAGAATCTCATTCGGGAAGATGGTCAATGGAAACTTCCTCTTCTTAGGAATATCTTCACTGACTCATTGATTCCTTTCATTACAGGAATCTTCATTGATCCAGAAAAATCTCAACAACCGGATAAGCTACTGTGGACTAAAGGAAACCATGGTGCTTATACGGTAAAATCTGGATACTATGAAGCTCTTAATCTGTACAAACTTCAACCAGCGAATAATCAGGTGGCACCAAATGTAATTCCACAGATAGTTTGGAAAAAAACTATGGAATTCATGTGTTCAACCATGACAAAAGACATTGTTCTGGAGAGCGTTGACAAACGCACTGCCAACCAGAATGGCGCTGCAACGACGGGGAATCGTATCTTCTACTGAATTGCCTAGGTATCTTGCAGCTACACAGGATTCTCTCTATCTCTTTCTGGACTGTCCATCCTCTAGAGACATTTGCACGCTGGCTCCGCCAGTATTCTCTACGGCGTCTACCTATCTGTGACATCCTTAGCAGCTTGGTTTCATTAGTGGATTCAATCAGGCCCTTCGGCATCTGATCTGGATTTTTCCTTTATTATATGCTGGTGGATTTGGTTGACAAGGAACGATAAACTCTGGAGGAATCAGAATCCCCAACCGTTGGCTCAATGGAGTCTCATTCAACAGGAATTTCAATTGCACATGAATAGATGTAACACAAGGAGAAGATCCACTCAACAGGCTATGCCTCAACTGAGACAGCAAGGGGATCATGCGACCATTCTACTTGATGGCTCCTTTAATCCAAATTCTTGCTGTGTAGCAGGCGCATGGAAGATTACCTCCCCCACCAATATGATCATGCAAATGAACACCACGACATTGCAAGTTCTAACTCCTTTCCAAGCGGAGGACTTAACTTGTTTAATGGCACCTCGTGAGGCCCGAGAAATTGTTGCATTACTAGGTTTTCTAATTTCCAGTTTTTCGTTTTGTAAAATTATTAAAGCTAGTAGACTAGAAGTAGATGAAGTTCATAAATTAGCGTATAATAAAATGTGTTGTAATAAAATAGGTTCTTAATACAAACATGGACCTTATTAAAAAAAACGAAAATAATGTCTAATTGTTATATCTTCTTCAATAACAAAAATTCAAGGACATAATTGGTTAGAGGTTTTGTGTGGACATGTATTGAATCCAACATTGTTTATGTAGGTCACTTTCGAACCTAATTTACTTTTTAAGTATATTCAAATGGCTTGATTCAAAAACAGCCTTTTCACTGATTTTTTTTTTTTTTTCCACCCTTGAATATGTTGGCATTTGGTATTGTACCAAGTCTTCAAAAAGCTCATTTCGAATTACTACTTTGTTTGTTTGGTGGGCCTTTTGAACTTGTTCACAATTTCAAACTTAAGTTATATACAGATTCGACATTAAAATGACAGTTTTAGATTAAAACATAATATTTTAAGTTCTGTAGTTTCTGGATTATGACACTCGCTCATTATTATATCTAACAAATAATGGTATTTATATATATATATATATATATATTTTTCAAAAGTTGAAAAGTCGACTGGGGGTATTTTTTTTATTACGTCGACCGAAAGTATATAACATTGTTTGATACATATGAGAACATTCATAAATTGTAATGATTCAAAAACCTACATTTTCACAATATTTTAAAGCCTTTCAAAGTTCAAACATCTCATGCACACCCGCTGCAGGAAATGAGCTTGTTGCTTTATTACATTATACATTACTAATCTCTGTTCCGGATTCTTTATCTTATTAAAAATCGATAAACTACATCTTATAAATATTCAAAAAAATAGTGATATATACAGCATGTGACGCCATTATTGTCATAATATTAGCTACAGTTGAATGACATGTATATACATTACTTAATAGAAGTACTCAAAAAATCTTTTGGGTAAAGTTGTGTTATTTTTGCATTTTCTATTGATCATAAATCATCCTGTCCATTAGAGTTTACAATACCTTTTAAGTGCAAATTCAGCATATAACAAATTTTTTCGATTAAAAAATTTATATTCCATCCATCCTGAAATGATTTTTCAGATTATTATATCCATTCATTCTGAAATAGATGTTTCTTTTGAAATTTTATTTTTAGCATACTTTACACTAAATATGAAAATTTAAAATAGATAATTATTTTAAATAAAACAGAAAAAATATAATAACACTACAACGGATTGAGCACTTATCTTAGAGAGGAGATGGTGAGTGTGATACTTAAATAAAAAATAGTATTAAATGAAGAGGTTGTTCTTGTTCATTTATTTATTAAATAATTCTGTGATTTGTCCTTACAGTCTTACACATCAGGAAGGAGGAAGTAGGCAGGAGGATGAAATCAAAAAAAATATGAGACCATCCTTTCTCAAAGTCTTAAAATAATGCAGAAAACAACAAAATTCAAACCAAAGAAAACCGTGCACTTAAATAAACAGAGAATCTACCCAAACATATCAGCTACTACTCTCCCTATTGATTTTGCCAACAGACAAACCTCCTCTGCCCATCCCTGACTTTCTCCTGCAATCTGCTCACTCACTCTGTTCTTTTGGGAAAAATGGTCATCTGTAGCTTCACATAATCAACTGTTAAAGAAATTTTTACTACTATGGTTTGGTGGCCCTTCAAAGTTCAAAGTTTAAAAGGTAGATCTCCAATCCCATTTTCGATTTTTTTTTTCCTTTTTCACCTTTTTCACATCAATTTGCTGTTGAGCTTTGCATGAACCATTGGAACAGTGACTTTTCGGAAGTAGTAGCTTTCATGGCTAAATAATCACTAGGCCACATTATTGATCGTATCCGTTGTTGGGTTTTTTTTTTTTTAGTAATTTAGTTCTTGGGTTAATTCAATGAAATTATCAGCCTCAGCTCTCTTGTTTGAGTCGCCCCTTTCATTGTCTCTTTCCCTTGTTTTCTTAAACTTCGGTATTGTCTCAAGCTTTTTGTTCTTGTCCCTGTGTTCTACATCTCCGAATATTCTCTGTTTGTTCTTGAATTTCACGGATTTTCTGGGTTTCTGTGACTTGGTAAAATTTTAATTTCTTTTGTACTGTTTGGTCAAGTTCTTTTCAAAAATGTTGATTGTTCACTCTGATCAGATCCACTGCATCAGTGATTAATTTGCTCGATATCCCCTTAATTAACATCCAATCAAGCTTATGGAACTTTTCAAAAGGGGTTTTGTGAGGCTTTTTGCTTCTTGAGAATTGAGCTTTTTGAAATTTTTTTTTCCCTTTCAGGCCAACCAATACGAATGAGAACACCTCTCTGATAAAGTCCACAATTTAGGGACACAAATTTGCTTTGGAAATCCCTCTTTGGGAGATTGGAGGAAGATGTTGTGTGCTTGTTCAGGAGAGCAATTCAAATTTGACGAGCCGGCCCCCCAGTCGCCGGAGTCGCTGGCCACAAGGGATTTCTCCGCCAGCGCTAGCGGCCTTTCATCAAGGAACGGAACAGCCGACTGGGAATCCAAATTAGAAGATGCCCAAGTTGATGAAGTCGAATCTACATTGAAGGAGGCACTTTCCCTAAATTATGAGGTTTGCTAATTTTAGAATTCTGTGTACAATTTTTTAGTAGCTCCATTGATGGATGTAAGTTGAAATTGTTGGTTTTCATTGCAGGAAGCTAGAGCGTTGTTAGGTAGGCTGGAGTATCAAAGAGGCAATTTCGATGCAGCCCTCCAAGTATTTCAAGGAATTGATGTTAAAGCCTTGTCCCCAAGAATGTCCAAAGCTATTGCCGAAAGAACTCGACCACGAAAGTCGGTCAAAAAGGGTGATAATTCACTACTAGGTGTAATGTCACTGCACTCTGTGAGCCTACTTCTTGAAGCAGTTTTACTTAAAGCAAAATCATTGCAGGAGCTTGGCCGAGTCAAAGGTAATTTGGCTGTCTGAAATTCGACCATATGATCATTCCAAATAGAACGGTAGCAATTCTAATGTCTACATTGTGGTGCATTTAGTCTAGGCTTGAGCAATGATATCATGGTAGTACAGTGGCCTAGTACTGATTATTGTAGTAGCTTAGTTGCTGAAAGCTTGCTTTGTGTTAAAGCCTGTGAAGATGATGATGAAATGACAAGAATCATAATCTGTTTAATTCTTGGATGAAAGCATTCTTATATCCATTGAAGTAGACAATTTAAAGTTTTTTTCCTCTCAACTGCTGCTAATATATGTCTGCTTGGGATATCGTCTTATAGAGGCTGCCAGAGAGTGCAAAGTTATCCTTGATGTAGCTGATTCTGCCTTGCCTAATGGGATGCCTCCTGGAATTGGTGATGATTGCAAACTGCAAGAGATGCTTCACAAGGCACTGGAGTTGCTACCTAACCTGTGGATAGAGGTTGGTTATCTGCAAGAAGCTGTCACTGCATATCGAAGGGCTCTGGCAAAGCCGTGGAATTTGGATGCCCAGAGGCTTGCCAACATACAAAAAGGTTTGGCTTCTATTTTGCTCTATGGAGGTGTTGAAGTAAGCCTTTCTCCCCATATACATCTTAGGGATAAAACAGCTCCTACAAATAATATGGAAGAAGCTATTCTCCTGTTTCTTATACTGATTAAGAAGGCCCTTGATCGCGAAATAGACTGGGATCAAGAAGTTATGGATCATTTAACTTTTGCACTCACGATTTCTGGGAGATATGAGTCTTTGGCTGACATTGTGGAGCAAATTTTTCCCGGTACGTATGATAGAGCACAGAGGTGGTATTTTCTGGCCCTGTGCTACAGTGCAGCAGGTCAGGAACAGACAGCTATTGAGCTTCTAAAGAAAGTTGCGGGTTGTTCAGAAACTAAGAATAGGCCTAATCTGTCTTCTTTTTTACTGGGAGCCAAATTGTGTGCTGAAGATCCAAAGAACGCTCACGAAGGGATGAATTTTGCACGAAGAGTAATCGATGCTTCCATAAACCAAAATGAGCATTTGTTGGGACAAGCCCGGAAATTTCTTGGTATCTGCTACTGCAATGGAGCCAGAGTATGTGTCTCAGATTCTGAAAGAGCACATTTGCGGAGAGAATCGCTGGACTCATTGATCCAAGCTGCTCAGATTGACAAAGATGATCCAGAACTCATTTTAAACCTTGGGCTGGAGAATGCCGTTCAAAGGAATTTGTCTTCAGCCTTTGATCAGGCATTGTTATACTCAAACATGGTGGGTGGGAGCTCAGTTAAGGGTTGGAGACTATTGGCTCTTATTGCATCTGCCCAGCAGAGACTCAAAGATGCAGAGGCTATAATTGACCTTGCTTTGGATGAGACCGATGGGATCGACCGGCTGGAACTCCTTCGATTGAAAGCCATGCTTCAAACAGCACAAGAACAGCCAAAGCAAGCCATTGAGACCTACAGGGTTTTGCTTGCTCTGGTTCAATCACAGAAAAATTCTCAAAGACCAAATAGAGACGATGAGGTATGAGTCTTTCCATAAACAGTAAGGTCATGAAAAAAGGGGAGGTTGTCCATCCATTGGTGGATTTAAATTTTGGAAATTAACTTCTTTCTGAGTTTTTCTTGTGTGTAATCTTCAGGTGTTACAACTAGGAAGATTAGTAGGTGAAGCTTGGCAAGATTTGGCTGGAATTTATTCAGATCTCGAGTCATGGAATGATGCAGAAATATGTATGGACAAAGCTAAGGCAACGACACTTTTCACTTCCCGGGGTTGGCATAGTAAAGGTATAAACTGAAATTCATTCTTCAATAACATAGTATCACCTATCCAATGTTCAACTGTTAACTGGCAAAGAACTTATTTTGCAGGTACGATATGTGAAGCTCAAGGACAACACAAGGAAGCTCTCGTAGCATTCTCAGTTTCACTAACAATAGATCCAGATTACGTTCCAAGCATAGTTTCAAGTGCAGGGGTGCTGATGAAAATGGGAAGAAAGTGTTTACCCACTGCAAGAAGCTGGCTAATGAACGCACTGCGATTGGAGCCGACCAACCACGATGCATGGTTCCATCTTGGAATGCTTTCCAAGGCTGAAGGTTTACATCAACAAGCTGCAGATTACTTTCAGGCCGCCCATGAACTTAAGCTTTCAGCACCTGTCCAAAACTTCGTCCAAGAATGATCTCATCGAAGCATACACAAAAGGAAGTCTAATTTTTTTTGTAATTTTGTTCAATTCATCCCGTTGATCTTACACTCTCCAGGCCCACCTTATGTATATACATATGCAAGGGGTTTTCGTGTAGGCTTGAAAATGCATTGGATGGTTGCCTCTTCGCATAAAATTATCGGGTTTGTTCACTATACGGCCTCAGTTTAACCCAGGCATATAAATACATTTTTTTGTCTACTTGAGTATAGGTGAAGTTTCCATTTGATATGCAACTGTCAGAAAAGAAACAATATAAAAAACACTGTTTCACCTTCCTCAGTTATAATGAAGATTTGTGATCAAGTTTACATAATCAGAGAAACCAATCAGCTTAAAACAATGATTATTGGGATTATCCGCAAATCAATTACAAACAGATCCTAACGATATTAGGGCAGGCCAAACATTAGTTCCTTACTCAGATAAATTCTCTGAGAAGCTGAAGCTAGCACTACTAGCTTGTTGTTCCCCCAAGCTCTATTAGCTTCTTGTTAGAGGCAGATGATAGGATGAGTACGGGCATTGTATGACTCTTGTAATAAGCTCTCTACCACCAAAAAAAAACAAAAAAACAAAAAACAAAAAATAGCACTACTGTACAGAATATTTCAATCTTGAAAAAAAATAAATAAACTCAAAAGACACTCTTTACTGAGACACATTTTCAGTTGCTAGGAGAGAGGGAGGGAGGGTTGAGGAGAGTTCTTGGACAAGCTACAACAGAGTAACCTTTCGGTTTTCTCTTTCAGTCCAGTGTACAAATATATTTAGAGAAGCCCTTTATTTGCAAAGCATCCTTAAAAATGACCAGAGCTGTGTTCGTAGTCATAATTATTGATAAAACGTGCATCATCTCAATTGAAATCTGAAACAGGGAGAAAGGGATGGAATTAGAATACAACTCTTAGTAAAATCACTTCTGTAACACTCACAAAATGACAAGTCACCAAGGTTCTACATAAACGACAATTAACAGAAACTAGTAAGTACATCCGAAAAAGATCAATTCATATCTGTACAACTTCAGTCTTCACAGGGTTCTTCTTCAAGTAGTAATCTTTGATTATCTAAATTAACAGTAACAAGTGTTTACACAAAAAATCCAGAAAATACAGACCTAATGATCAAGTTTTACTTTTCTATTTCTTTTTCCAGAACATGGCTGTCATGCTAATTTATAATCCTTTCCTGATATTTTACGTTTTTAATCCGCATTCCAGGCCAAGAAGAAGTAAAAGCCTACAAAAGGAGAAGAGTCTCACATGCTTTTGGTGAGGACAGTGAAGAGTATATTATCCACTCAAAGATTAAATGGATGAATGTTCCATGAATTGAACATTACCAGCTCAAATCTGACAAATACTCACAGAGAAGTGTGACAGTGTATCTATGTGAAAGTATCATCAGTGCTGCTAAATTAAAACCAATGGGTATATGAAATATACATTCACCTAAATCAACAAAGGCTAGAACTTTTAAAAAAGAATTAATCCACCTTGCAATGCGAAAAAAGAGAGCAAAAAACTTATGAAGGAGAGAAGGAAATAGGTAAGCTGTCTGCTCATTAAAGTTAAGCACACAAAAAAACTTACACTGTACAGAAGAAGACAAGCAGAAGGGCCACAAAATGTACAATCTCATGATCCCATGTTCCACTGCATTCGCAAATTGTACCGGCAATAGGTTAAAATTCCAATTTTTAAGAGACATACACACACACGCACATACATACATACATACATATATATATATATATATATATATATATATATATATATATATACACACTTGGAAGGAAAGCCTAGTATAAAAAGTAATGATATCTATGGTATTATTATGAATTTATGAAAGCAGCAAAACGGAATAAAAACCACGAAGACCTTCAATACTGGCTCGCCCTTGTTCACATTTGCAGATTGCTTGGCCATAGCTGCTTGCTGTGCTCTCACAGCTCGTCCTGCTGCGGATTGCTCAAATTGTTCTTGCCTGTGGATTGGCCAGTTCAAATTCAGAAAAACTTCTTCATTAAATTGCATACAGTTTCCAAGGGTTGCATACTTAGATTAAAAAAGGGGCGAGAACAAAAACTCTACAGTCAAGCCATGTCCAGATCTCAACTTCAACATTTTACCACTACACACAGCTTCATTAAACATGCATATAAGAACTTTTTCCATACACGGGACCGACTTTAAACATGCATTTCATTACCATTTTCGTTCACAGAATAAGAAACACCCACACAGAAACATTTTTAACAAGATCAAGAGGCTTATGCACTTTGCACATAAATGTAAGCCTATATGCTCAATACAAACCAAAATCAAAAGTGCAACTCCATCCATCCAGAGGGAGGGAGTATGCTGCCATCAAGATAATAAGTTTAACCCGAAAGATAAAAAGCGTTCCTTAGTATAAAGTTCCAAAGTTCTCTCCTTTCTCTTATCTTCCAACAATTGGGGCCGTTTCAGGAAAAAGGCGGGGAAAACCATGGAGTACATCAGACTTCAAAAAGAATAGGCAGAGAAACTCTGTAAACTGAAAAATGATTCAAACTGGATGGAGGGAAGTTCCCCCTTTGATGCAACAATGGATGGATAGAGCTCAATCCCACTAATCAATTACAATCCTTTGTTCCAATAAAAAGAAACTTGAATAAATTAGCAATTCAATCATTTTAAATTTCAACATTCACCAGTAACTAAAACCCAGAACCCTTCCTTTCTAACCAGAAAAAACCCATTTGAACAAACAATCTCCAGGTTCCAAATTCCAATCCAGCAATCAAATTAACATTAACCATAATAATCAGGATAATAAGAACAGAAACAAAACAGCAACGAAAAAGGTAAAAGATAATGCCTTTTCTGGGCAGCTTCAGCGGCTTTAGAACGAGCTTCTAGAGAGGCTAATTGATCCTCCTCTCTTCGCCGTTGTTTGGAAGCTCCACCGTCGAAGCATGCAAAGCAACCCATGGATTTGATCCCCACTCTGAAACTCCCCCAAAGTCAATGATGGCTCTAAACTTTTTGGAATGTACTCGGTAATCAAAGATGTTGTCGATAGATTCCCCTTTCTTTAAAATCACAATGGATTACGTGTAAATGAATGGAATATATATATCGCCCCGAATCTCCAGAAATTGCGCGTAAAACTACAAAAACTATACTAATCACCCACCCCCTCTAGTTTGTTAAAACTACCAAATCAATCCTAAATTTTAGTTGACGCTAATTCCATCCTTTAGTTTTAGGATTTACTAATTTCCATATCGATCTTCTAAATTTTTAAATGTATAACCCTCTAGGATTTAGTGAGTTGTGATTACTGATTACAATAGTTTTGTGACACACGATAACTATAGTTTTTTTTAATGAATGTTGGATTTGATTTTATATATAAAAGTACTTATTACCAATATGCATATTTTATTTTTTTCAGCCGAATCAATCTATACAACCTAATCAAATTGTGATATATTGCAAAATGAAAAACTCAAAGCACTGTGATTAATTAACCTAACAATTATTTATTTTCTTAAGATTATATAGTTGGATTTGAATTATTCTTTATTGTTGAAAAATAAAAATACACGGAGAATATGAGCGTAGCAAATAGACAAAAAGGTTTACCATAGATTGTACTTGTAACTTGTGACGTATGATGATATGAATCATTTTTAGATAAAAATGATAACGCACATGATGTAAAATGCAATATATTTCTTCACTTGCTCGAGATTGTAAAAATAAAGTTATTTTCCAATTATTTTTTTTTACAAATTATTTTTAATTATTCATCCACTCCGAATGATTTCACATAAATGAGTCCACACCAATTTGAAACTTATTTTCTCAATAGAAATAAACTTGATTATTAAGATGAAAAGAAAAATTAAGATTATGGGTGCCAATAAAAATGATAAAGAAAGATACCCCTTCATTGTCATATGGGTGGGTAGTATCTTTTAAGTTTGTAGAATAGCCAAGGGGTTTTATAGAATAGCCAAACCTCTAGGGGTTTATTTTTTAAAGTTACCCTTTAATTAACGAATAAAATTTACAATCGACATCGTTTTTATTGTTTATCATCTTCTTCCCAGAGAAAATTCGACTTTGGACTGTGAACTTGTGAAGCAAAAGCAGCAGTGATGAGCAAAGATGGAAGCTTGGATTCATTAGGTCCGTTTGATTCTCTTCAACTCGACAGCGACCTCTCTCTCCACCCTCGAATCAAGCTCCTCTTGACCATATTCCGGGCAGATAAATCCGTAAACCCAATCGACGAATGGAAAATCAAGCGTTCATTGATCGAATACTTGAAATCTTCACACTCCATTGAGGTCGAAGATGAGAAGGACGTCGACATACGGAAGTTTAAAGACTTGAAAAAGCGGAAGCGCGAGGACCCGGTTGCTCGCGGCGCTCTGGTAATTCGGGACCTAGGGTTTCTGTCGAGGTTGAAGAATGAGGATGATGTGGAGAAGAAGTTCTTCGAGTGGAGGAAGAATTTCGTGGCGAAAATGGATGGGATGGAGTTGAATTTGGAAGGGAGTAAGTTTAAATTGGGTGCGGTTTTGCCGCCATCAGATGATTTCGAAGCTATGAGGAAGGAATGGGAAGAAAATTTGGCCTTTGGCAATCGAGGTCTGTCAGAAACGTTAATTTTTTTTTTCAGAATTATTTCCCAATCTGCATTTTGTTCTAGCATATGATCGTTTTGAAACTCACTGATAAGTAGTATGTCATTTGCTGAGTTGCAACTTTTGCAATGGGGAAAGGTGCTTGATTGAGATTTCATAAATCTGTTAGGTTATTGATGTAGTATGTATAACTTCTACTGCACTATAATTATGATTTGTTTCAAAGTTTGTTGCTTTATGGGGGTTTATTGAATGTATATGATTATATTCAAGCTTGGATCTTGTTTTTATTGAGAGAAACAGGGGTCTGTCCTTGTGTTCTTCTGTGTATCTTTTTTATCTTTGATTAGGTCATAACCGAGGTGGCCGCCAGCCGGATACTCTAGTGTTGAGAGGTGTCCCGTCTCGGTGGTTTGCTGAGACACGAGTATCATCTAAGCCCTCTATGCTGGTCACCCATACAATTTTCAGTGCGCTTGGGAAAATAAGGTGCTGTTTTACTTTAGGAATTAATCCAAAACGTTGATAAGGAATTGCTAACTCCATTTCTATTTGTATGTCATTGTTTTCCACAATTTCTTAAATCATCGATTCTTTATCATTAGTTACTCCCTCCGTCCCATAATTATTGTCCAGTTTGAGTTTTCATTTCTAGTTCAAATTGTATTAAAAGTGAAATCTCAAGCTGGACAATAATTTTGGGACAGAGGGAGTACATTACATGTTGCCTGAATTGGAATCGTTTTGTATTGCATATCTTTCTGCAATTTTGTTATCATCTGGAAATCTTTATGCTGGTCTCCTGTAGTCGTTGATGTATTTTGTGGTCCACTGGGAGTTGCCAGCAAACTTCTCTGTTGTTGATGTTGATTGTTGTATTGTTCTTTTTCTAGATACTATTCCTCATGTGCATTTCTTTGTATTGTGGTTATAAGTTGTTGTTCTGAATCCTGACGTGGTTGCTAATTGAAGGGAGAAACTTGCATGATATATGTTGATCGCTGCACTTGGATCTAAAGAGCCTATATTTATGCACACATGAATAGTGCGGCATGAGCTCTGGTTAAGATGTCTCGATCATTCAAGAAATAGGCAATGAGTTTGCACCCATGTTTATGTAGTATTCCTTAGCCTACAAGAAACTAATATGAAATGTCCATACATGGCACTTACCTATGATGAATGAGATATGTCATCTTAGTTTGCTTGCCAAATCATCCTATAGATTATCCACTCTATAAAAATCTCTTAAGAAGATTTTTAGAATGTTCCATCTACCACAGAGAAAGACATGACACATACATTTCATTGAGTTCTGACTTTATTAACTGAGATGAACTATTGGCTGTTGCACGTGCCCATTGCCCATTTTTCTTATGGAACTATTTGCTGATCTTCCTGCTCTCGCTTTTGTTCTACATGTAGGAATCTTGACGTAGCTGAGGACAATGATATAAGCCTGGATGCGGATGATGATGGAGAAGAAATAGTTTCAGGATTGCTATGTAAGATTGTTGTGCGGTATGAAACATACAAAGACTTCCATGATGCCTTAAAGATCTTGTCGGGGCATTCATTGCAAAAGGTAGCTTTCTATGTTTTTCTTGTCTTTAAATCAATCAATTAGGTAGATATTGCGACAAGAACAAGGGTTTACAGTTAATAATGACAGAAGCGGAAAGGAAATGCAAAAATAATGACCAGCAGTTTAAATTGGAAGTTCCTGCCAAAAAGGAAATTGAAACAACAATGTGAAATTTGGTGTATCAAAAGCAATAGTCTTCATCTATCATATTAAACAAAAGCAACAGTGCTACCTTCACTACAGGATTTAGAGGAAGCAAGTTACCATATTCAAAGCACGATAGGCATAAATGTAAGCTTGATCTATGTAGTGATTCCATAAAAGAACACTTGAGGATGCAAGCAAGGCTTCAATGACGACGATCAAGCAGCATGCAGTAAAATCTAGCCTCTGAAAGTGATTTTAGGCGAATGCATTGTCTAAGAGAAAAGAGTTCCTTTTTTCTTTTCTTTTTTTTTTTTTGGGGGGTTTAGAGGTTCTCATATTAGATAATTGTTTTTGTTCCAACCTAGATCCTAGGGCGGGTTAGTGGACATACCACTTATAATGTCTCCAGTCCAATTTATTCAGCACAATTTGAAACTCCTTCAGGAGTATAACTTGCTCAAAAAATAAACTTAATAATATTAAACATTGATCTCCAAACTTCTGGTGCTTATTCTTCAGTCGTATTTCTTTATCTTCCTGACCTCTCTTTCTGTATTCCACTAATATCTGGAATTTCTCTTCATGTTTGTAGCAAGGATCACGTTTGAAGGCTGACTATGAGGTGACATGGGACAGGGATGGATTCTTCCAAAATGGTAGAACACGAACAGAAGGTAGAAGCAGATGGGAGCCGACCAATGGATCGGGCCGGCGGTACTATAATGCAACTCAGTACAACCCCGATGAAGCACGCCCAAAACGATTTAGGGTAAGCATCTAAAGCGTCTGATGACCAAATTTCCCTGCAAATCCTATAATTCCTTATTCTTTTTTACTCTGTATTTATCACTTTCAAATTGAAGGACCTTGTGTTGGAAAATTTCTTAATCAAGTCTTGCTTTGCAATGCAGGAATGACAATTCGGATTACTTATGTGAAGATTTATGGGACGCTCATCACGCTAAGCTGTAGCAAAATTTATCTACTGCGTTAAAAGGCCCGAATATATTCATTCCATTTTCAATTGTTTCTCGAATGGGTGCTAAGGGGGCTGAAGAATAGGGTGGTTGGTGAGATCCGAACTCTTGACTTCAGTAATGAACAAGTCATGTCAATGTTGCTTGATCCATGTGCCTTATATTATTTGCTTTTTCTCTGATCATTGTCTTTCACTTTTGGTGTTCCTTACAGTTTGGTAAAGAGAATCTGGAGAGACTGCCTAGGTCGCTTTCAGTGTTAATTTGTTATGAATCAAAATAGAAAAACAATTCTAACCTGTACTCTATGAACATCATTACTCGCATAGGTTGTCAAGATTCAAGAATGCGTGTTTTAATATCTTTTTCTGTCATTTTCGGGTCACATTTGGAAAAATAGTCTGTGACGGCTGCTTCTGGGAACCTTCTAAAGAAATTGGAGTTTTGTAGGCTTCAAACTGCTGTTGTGTATTTCACGTATATTGTTGGAGTAACATTTTATATCTTTTTTTTCATGAAATCATTCATTGCTTGAGAGCGACTGGCTTGCTGAATTCAATCAAATTTGCATCAACGTAGACTAGGGGCTGGGATATTACGTCTAATCTCTATTGTCTGGAGCAATTATCTGCTGAAATCATTGCACCTGCTCGACTTCCGTCGTTCAAATCAATGAAATCTTGCTGTTCTTTTTGAGAAAATTCATGAACTTAGTTAGACTAAGAAGTAGTATTCTTTAACGTTGTTTTGTATTTATCGGCTGTAATCGTTATACTTATATACCTCTTGCGTTGAATGTTTGGGAAAATTCATAAACAGAGACTAGGAATTAGTACTCTAAAATGGGCGCTGAAATAGTAGTAAACCAGGAAAAGGAAAATTGACTAATAATCACTCGGATCATACTTATAATGCATGATTATTATGTCTTATACATAAATTTGTAAGAACAAAATTCAAGCAAAACTTAGATGCATCGGATTAATGAGCTACAATTTAATAGTAAAGTTAGTTATAAATAGGGTGGGATGGAGTATATCTGTCTAGCGAAACATGGATTGAGACGAATTAAACTTTTTCTTTTTATGTCTTCGAAAGTGGGTTAAGTTTTTGCTGATGTATATATAGCTTATCAAAATTGACAAATGCACATCTAATTAACGAGTGTAAAATGTAAAAAATACCCGTTGACAAGTCCTTTTTTTTTTCTTTTAATTTTCGACATCTAATAAAGTATCATCACAGATATAAAAACGTGTTTAAGAATCTGAAATTTGAAAATATATATATATATATATATATACATATAAAATGAAAAGATATCAAATTGTCTTTGAAACCCAAGGAAAAGAAGGAAAAAATATTGCAAACAGTAGAATGAAATCTGTTTCTTTCGTTAGCAATCTATTAATCCACCGCCCTTAATCTAAATTTCTCCAGTATTTTAAGTCCTGACACATGGTTTCTTGCGCTTGAAGCAAAAACATCTCCTAATCTGGTCAACCTTAATTAGTTTAATTTCAAGACGCACATTAACTAATCCATCTTTGTATTATATACTACTGTGTTTCCTGACTGATTCAGAGAGTTCTTTTTATATGTACACTTGATTGGTAACTTGTGCTTGAGTGCTTCTTCTTTGGTTCCTTTTTCCTCTCACTTTTCTTCTTCAAAGAAATCTGTTATGATTTATGAATGGGCGAAATTAGTATTTCAGTCAATACCTGCTCTCATGTCACGTCCTAAACTAAATTCAATTAAAATTTTTGCATTAACAAAAAAGATTTATGAGTTCGATCGTTTGATAGGAAAACATGTACATTGTTTAAAACCTTATTATAACTTATAAATTCAAACTGTGATGATCATTTTATTTGATAATCAACACTCTGTGATTTACACGGTGATATGATCTTGAGAAAGCAACACTTTGCCAGAATAAGTCATCTTGAATATATACGAATATTACGTCATCGAGCATCAAATAATCAATTCAATACGTGGGTTCATTGTTACTTATCATCAGATAAATAACAAATAAGTAAAAACTAAGCGACGAAACGGGGTTTAATAATTAATTAAGATGTAGTAGGTAATGCAATATATATATATATATATATATATATATATTTTTAATCAAATCCAATCTTCCATAGTTTGAACAACTTGGCAAAATTTATATATACAATGCTGAAATCATCAGTTACTTCAGCGTTGAGTGCACAAATCAAAATTTCCATATCCAAAATCCACTGGATGATGAAGAACACGTCAAAGACAAGGAATTTTTGTCCCCGTCAGAACAGTAATTAACAAAACCAACAACAAAAAAAATAGCAATAATAATTTACAACTTTAACGGATTATAAAAACTACCAAAAAAAAAAAACAAAAACCCCACACAAATCTACAGTTGAGTGCGACAAAATCATGCACCAAAATGGAATAAACAAAAAATTTGAAGGAAAAAATGGAATGATGAAGATTAAATTGCACCCTTCATCACAATAGAACCAAATGATCATCATGATTAATCATGAACGAACCTCACTTTTCTGTCATTTGGTTTTCTTAGTTACTGGATCATTAGTTTCCCTTGACAACATAGGTACGAGGTACCATGCGACCGTTACGCAAATTATAGCAAACGATCTTCCACTTAAACACAAAAGAAGCAAAATCAAGATTATGGTCATAGGAAAGAAGCCAAAAATGTGCCTCAGATCACCATTTCTCAATTTGAAGCTCTTTTTAGTGATTTTACGAATTTGGGTCGTCACCTCCTTCTTTTGCCTTTGAGCTTCTTCCTCATCCTTCTTGTTTATTGCTGCCACTTGGGCAATTGGCTTCATTTCTTTCTCTTTGTTGTTTGGATTTGGTTGTTGCTTCTGTGGTTGTTGTTGTTGTGGTTGTGGTTTCTTGACTTTGACAATAAAGGGTTGGAGTTCATCTGAATTGGTATAAGTAAAATAAACCAAAGAGATATCTCCTGAGCCCTTTTGCATGTAAATCTTCTGCTTCTTGGCTTCAAGTTCCGCTAAAAGTGCAGCAAATTTGTCAAGCCCTTGATTTGCATAAGGGTTCTTCTTCTTCTGCTTGGTCTTCTTGCTCTCATCTTTTCTTTTAGTACTACTACTAAAAGAATAGCTTCTACAGCTTTTAGATTTCTGGGGTGTTTTGATTGGAGCTGGGAATTCATCAAAATCATAGTCATATTCTTTCCATCTCTTGAAACTGCTACAGCTGAAAGGACTACACATTTGTGGGGAAAAAGATTGGGATTTTGGGAATTTTGATGTTGACTTTGGGAGGTGTTTAATTTTGAAGGTTTTGGGAAATTGAGAGGTTGAATTATTATGGAAGAAATTGCATGATAAGTACTTGAAGGACTTACTTGACGGCTTCTTTCGAGAAGACTAATAATAGTGCTGGACAAAAAAATCACGTGAGAAGTGAGAAGAGTCAAAAATTTTGATATATATATACTTGTTTAGGAGAGTTTGAAAGAGTTTAATTCCTGGGAAGTTTCTATTCATGGGTTTTCGATTTTATTTTGCTTGTGTTGACTTCTTGGAGAGGAGGTTAGGAATCTCCCACCAATTACCAAATCACAATTTTAGTTAACCCTAAGAATTTAATCAAATGCGATTTGAAGGCTATATATAAGGATTAATAGAGATGAATGCATGCACTCAGCCACGCAGGTTTGTATTTTTTATTTTTTATTTTTAATTTACGTACCTTGATCAAGGTAGTTGTTTTAGTAGACAGTAAGGTCTGTTACAAATTATACAAATACGTAGTCTATTATATAAGAATACGGATATGATAATTGGAAAAAATAGTATGATTATGCATGACGCTCTATCTCAATATTTATATTTTTCTTTGTACCAAAAAAAAAGTTATATTTATATTTTTCTTCCATTTAGATTATATATAATACTCCTTGAGGCCTTTAAAATTAATTAACGAATTCATATGTACCTTCAAATTCATATATCCAATTTATCTCAACCATCATTCCCCTTGAGGCCTTTGACATGTGTCTAACCATTGGTTAATTTTTGCATAACAAATCTAAATTTAATATTCGCCTTACGTTCCCTTTCCTTTTTTGCGTAGTTATAGCAAAAGTTAGATAACTTTTTGTTTTCCTTGAAATTACCAAATCACGAAAAGGAAATTAAAAAAATAAGGAGAATCTATACAGAAAAAAATAAGCGTCATCCCGCGGATTAGTTGAGGACCAATGTATACTTGTTGGTCGTGGCGGGCTTGGAATTTTTTCAAAATAATTGAATCATGTTTTTATATGCTTTCTCATGAAATTTAATTTATATTGTCACCATATGATATTTTTTGTGCCAGGGATTATAGATATACTTTTTCTGAAAAGAAAAGGAGAGAAAAGAGAGAAATTCGAGTCATTCCAGTCATTAATTTTGCTTCAAAATTTTAAAGTATCATTAACAATATTTTCTTTTTTTGGGAGGGAGGGGGTGCTGATTATGATCGTGGTAGCGATCAATATATTACAGTGAGGAATAAGTGGTATTGTACAAGATTGAAATGGTATTAATTATTTATTGAATGCATGATATTGACTAAAATATGTGAATTGGACCAAATATGTTTCTACGGACACTTTCCTAGCTACTAATATACGTAGACTTGAACGTAAGAGATTTCATTTTTCTAAGATAGAATTAATCTTCTCATCTCTTCTTCTTTTTCCTTTAATTTGTATCTACAAAATAATAAGACCCAAGAGAGTACTAAATTAATCCAATTACCCTAGAGTCATGTACTTTTCGTGGATATAATTACGAATATGAAATGCTAATGACAGAAGGTTAGACGAAGTGGAGATGGCGGCTCAATTGCTAATGGTTTGTTTTTTTCCTAGTATTTCAGTAAATTAAGATTTGTTTTGACCTATAGATTTTGTTTTACTTTTGTTTTTTTATCCTCAGAAGCTTATGTTTGGCCTTGTTTTGGCTTCGTCAGCGGATACATATCTCTTCTTGAAATTATGGAAGGAAAAACAAGAAAATATATATAAAAAAAAAAAGAACAAGAAAATTAAACGTTCAGTTATCGTGAAATAGAACAGCGTAGTTTATTATGCAAGAAAGAATACTTGTCAGAGCAGTAATACTGTAAATAGAATTAATGAAATTTCATATGTAATACTAAATGGAATTGACCAGTAGTAGCCCCAGGGCCTCCACGCTACGTATTATCACGATTATGTAGATTTTTACTATTTGATTTGGTCCAACAAAAAATGAATTATTTATTGCGGATCCGCTGCAAAAAGCGTTAAAACTAGTTATGAGACTGTGAAAAGGAATCTAAATGCTTATGACCTTGAAGGATGCAAGCGCTTATAACAACAAATTTTGAGCGCTTATAACAAATTTTGGGAAGCCAAATCCATCATCTAAGTTCCAATTTCTGGCCAATTTCATTCAATTGACAAAATTCCGTTAGATTTAACACCTCTGTTGACATTCCGTTACGGATAAAATAACGGTTGTACCCAGCGTTTTAACCGTGTCGTTAATTTTACTCCATTGATTTTTGGTTAGCCAATTTTGCCCTTTACGTTTGAAATTTTTGCCAATTTCATCCAATTGGCTCAGTTTTCATTAAACTTAAGGAATTTCAATTAATTTTTAACAAAATATATCTCAATAGTATCAAAAAATTATAAAAATAACCTCAAAATATGTCAAATTAACAAAATAACCTATTTTCATTATTTATTTATTTATTTTTATTTCATTTTATTTCTCTTTACAACTTTTTATAACCATCAAAATATATTATAAGATCTTTAAAATAATAAGTATTTATTTTCAAACTCTATTTTTCATGTGCAAATATGTGAGTTTGGTTCAGAAGTAATTTTGTCATATTTTTAAAATTTTTAATTAATTTTTTTATTTTTTGTTGTTTATTATTCTTTTTCTTATACTTTCTGACTTCTATCGGTTGCTACTAGTATAATTACTAAATTTCATTAATTAATTTACCTTTTATTTCATAAATTATAAAAAAAGTTTAAAAAATAAAAAAAATGGGGAAGAAAAAATCGAGTTGAAATAAATACGAAAATTATAGGTTATCATTCTAAACAAAAAAAGAAATCTAAAAAAAAAATGCTAAGACAAGTCTCTCCTCCTTGACTTCTTGTAATTCATAGGTAAGTTACGAAATATAAATTATACTCAATCAAGCCTAAAATGATTATTTTGTTTGTGATAGTAAAAATAATATAAAAATTACGTAATCATTTGAAATAGGAAAAAGTGCTAATTTATTTAGTCCACGACGATGAATTGTTTTAAATTTGCTTAAAATTTTTTTTATTCTTTTTTAGTAATTGTTGTTGTTTCTTTACGAATGGCTAAACTATATAAGCAATCATTGAATTTCATGACAAAGATAAATGCGTATATTTTTTAATAATATTTTTTTAAATATTTTTTTAAACCTCGAAATTGAATTACAAAAGGTAAATTTTTTCTTGAAATATAGTAATTATACTACTAATAACATAGACAAGTCAGAGAATAGAAGAAGAAATTGTTAAAAAAATAAAATAAAACAAATTAAAAATTTTTAAAAAATATAAAAAGACAAAATTACCTCTAAACCCAACTCAAGTGTGTTGCACATGAAAAATATTGTTGAAAATAAATAATTATTTTTTAAAAATCATATAGTATATTTTGATGGTTATGAAAAGTAGTAAATATAAATAAAATGAAATAGATTAAAATGAATACAAGTGAAAAGGGGATATTATGTTATTTTTACATTCTTTTAAGCAAGAAAAAGGATGAAAACGACGTTCAGGTTCTGGATAACTCAAAAAATATTTTGTGAGTTATCTTTATAATGTTTTGAAACTATTGGGGTATTTTTGTAACAAACTAACGGAGATCCATTAAGTTTAACGGGACTTTGACCAATTGGATGAAATTGACAAAAATTTCAAAACATAAAAGAAAAAATTGACTAATCGAAAATCAATAGGATAAAATTGACGACGGGGTCAAAACGGTGTAACCGCTATTTTTTTTATTTTCCGCTACTTTGTACAATTTTTTAGAAAGAAGAAGGAGAAAAAAAAAGGAAAAATAAGTAAAATATTTTGTAATTTTTGTGGAACTGATGAATAGTAGCGGCGACGAAAATGCGGGTAGTGATGGAGGGAGGATTGTGTACTGTTGGTAGAGGCAAATTTTTATGTTTGTGGTGATGGTTTGAAATCTTCACAGATTTAGGAAGTGGTGATGGTAATTTTTAGGAGAGAAGAGGAAAGGGGCGGTGGTGGTACGGCAGTGGAAAACAAGTAAAAGAGGAAAAAAAAAAAAAAGGAAAAGGCTTAGGGTGGGAGTAATAAATTAGATTAGGAGATAAATTATATGGTAGGGACATTATAATAATTAAATGGTAAGATAAGCGTATGTTACTGAATAACAAAACATTATGGATAAAATGTTAGGGTCAACAAAGTTTTTTACCAATAAAAAATTGTACAAAGTAACGGAATGTCAGTGGAAAGGAAAAATTGGCCGATCTACCCAAAGGTTGACATGCGTTGTCAATTCTACCCTATTCTTTTTCGATTAGCCAATATTACCCTAAGCTATTCAACTGTTAGTCGATTTTGTCCAATTGGTCAATTTCCGTTTAAATTAACGGAATTCGATTAATTTTAATTATAAAAAATGCCCTAATAGTTTTAAAAATTATAAAAACAACCCTAAAAATAACCAAACAGTCTTTTTACACTTTTTATTTAATTTTTTCTATTTTTTTATTTTTATTATTTCTCATAACTATAAAAATATATTATATGATCTTTTAAAAAAAACTATTTCTTTTTAAACACTACTATGCAAATTAATTTTTTAATAATATAACTTGACAATAATGATATTAGTTTTTTAATCCTTTTTTCAATTTAAAAAATAAAATTTTTGACTAAAAACTAATTTTTTACAAAAAAGTAAAACATTTAGCGTAGATTAAAAATTAATATATTAGTAGATTTTAATTTATTACAAATTGAATAAACAAACTATAGATTGTATTATCCAATTCAAAAAATTACTAAACTAAAATATAGTGTACAATCTAGTGTTTAGGGTGTTGAGCTTCATGATAGTAGATATAAGATTAATTCTCACTGAGAATTTTTAACCGGGAGAGTGATTTTATCCACATTTATACATGGTTTACTTAAGGTGAGAGGGTTGAGTTGAATGGTCAGGTTATTTAAGATGGGAGATGATTATTACTGTGTTCGAGGCCTCAATTCTCACTGGGGCGTCTTTTTTTTTTTTTTAAGGTGGAGTCCAGTACTTGAGCCGATTTTTTTTTATTATTATCAAAAAAAATTTTCCTACTAAAGTTAGATGTTATATCTCAAAAAAATTATCACGAAATGTTAAACTCTCGCAATGATAAATATACATATTTTTTATAAAATATTTTGTACCATTTTTTTTTACTTTCTGTTTGTACTTGGCCTTTTAAAGAAAATGTATATTTTAGTTTAATTATTTTTTTAATTTTACAATACAATCTAAATT